CTCACAGCTGCTGACTTGCAGCCTCAGTGATGCCGCAGTGGCAGAGCTGAGATCCAGGTATCTCCTGCCTCCCACAGAGCCTGTCCTCATGCAGCCACAACAGCAGGTAGTCAAGTGAACCCCAAATCAGGCTGCTGAAAGAGTGGAGAATCTACAGGGCCATAGCCCTGTTCAGGGGTTTGGGGGTGAAGTCTTCCCTGGGCTCATCTTGCTACAAATAGGGTTAAACGTTGGGTGGGCAGTGCTGAGCCAAAGGCCTCAGTGTGATTTGCAGCTCCAGCAGGGCCCTGGTGATAGGGAAGGACAGTGAAATCCATAGGGGGTGTGAGGAGCTGCAGAACCCATGGACACAGCCAGAGGGAGCGTCCCTGAAAGTCTGCAACAGAAGCAGCAAGGGACTGCCGGCTGCAGGGCCATGAAGTATCTGTGTTCTTTGCCACCACAGAAACCAAAGGTATCTTGTTTAAGCATTCAAGTTGCCGTGGAAATGCACCTCTCTTGGCCTATGTTTTAACATCTCAGCAGATGCCCATTCCCCCTTGGGGCACCCAGGGACTCTCCTATTCTCCCATCAGGACAGTGAGAATCCAGGGGTGACTGTCCTTCAACACTGGATCCTAGTAGACCTGCCTGCCCTTGTCCAGACTCCTACCCTAGGGAGTGGACACTCCAGTGTTTTTGGTACCAGCGGCTCCTATCTTGGAGAAAAGGTTCAGATATAGGGCTTTGGAGATGGCTCCATTGGTAAAGGGTCTGTACAGAAATCTCTGAGTTTGATCCCCAGAACCCATGTAAAAGAGCCAGGCAATCCAAGCAATGGGGAGACAGAGAGGCAGAGCCCTGTGGCTTACTAGCCAGCCAACCCAGCCTACTCAGTAAGGTCCAGGCATCAGGAGACCTTGTCTTGAAATAAAATGAATAGCACCTGAGCAACAAAACTCAGGGTTTCCTCTGGCCTACACATGTACACACATACATGTACATTTGCATACATGTCGTGCATGGACACACAAACAGAAAAAGGTTATGCCAAGTGCAATCAGGACTTTGCTAAAAAGAAGGAACCTAGCTTTGTGTCTGCTTAGGAGACACTTTTACTTCATAGTGTGGAGGCCATAGGTGGCTGACACATGGTCATGTGAGATAGGCTCCCCATGAGTCAATGGAAATGGGGACAGTGTATGAACAAAGAGTGTGTAGGGAGGAAAGCCTCACTGGTGGCATAGAGATGATTGACAATCCATTTGGGGTTCATTTTTAAAGGACTTTGGTTACATTGCTATGATTATTCCTGAAACGATTCTTAGCTAGGCAAGGTGGCGCTCACCTGTAATCCCAGCACTAAAGACAAGCAGGAGGACCACTGGAAATTTAAGGCCAGCTTGGTCTACACAGCAAGTTCCAGCCTAACCAGGGATATATGCAGCAAGGCTTAGTCTCAGAGAAAGGGAGGGGAGGGAGAAAGGTGAGGGAAAGCAGAGAGCAGAGACAACTCTCCTGATGAGAGCTGCTTATTTAAAAAAGTGCGTATTTGTTGTGTCAGTCCCTTTTCAGATAGCGGGACACCTGAGGGCGGGTACTGTAAGAAAAAAGGATTATTGGGGCTGGAGAGATGGCTCAGCGGTTAAGAACAGTGGCTGTTCTTGCAGAAGACCCAGGTTGCATCGCGGCACCCACATGGCAGCTAACAACTGTCTGTAACTCCAGTTCCAGGGGATCTGACAGCCTCTTCTGACCGCCTCGGGCATTGCACGACATTGGTGCACTTACCTACATGCAGGCAATACACGCATACACATAAAGTAAAAATAATAAAATTTTAAAAAAGAAAAAAGGATTATTTAACTCAGCATTTGGGAGGCTGAAAAACCAGGACCAGGTGGCCCATGGATTTGGCCTCTGTCCATGGCTCCTTACATCCGGGCTCACCATGGCTAGAGGGGAAAATAAAGACAGAGGAGGGGCACAGACTAAGCCCCTCCTAGCCCCACCCTTGAAGGTCCTCCACCTTCACCACCTGAGAACCAAGCTCCCAGCACACTGACCTTTGGGTGACACTCAGACTGCATCGAGGCCATAGAAGACTGAGGAGGAGAAGACTCAGGGTGCAGCTGCTGCTTCTGAATATCTTTCTTACAGTGAGACCTCTGCACACCTGCCTCCCTGTGGGCACAAACCCTTCCACTGCTGTCTTCTAGGGCTTGTTTCCTCACTGTGTGATTTGGGCGTTTTCAGGTCTCTGCACCTCAGCTAGTTCATTTCAGGGGCAGTTTGGAGCTCTGTTTAACCGCTTGCAGTGATTTAACAGGCGACTGGCCATTAGTCTCGCTTACCGTCTTGTGCTAATCCGTTGCTGTACTGTCTCTGTTTTCAGGCCACTGGATCTGGGATAACGTTCTAAGTGTGCAGGTGCCGGCCCCTGCATACAGCTGTCACAGTGGACAGTCACTAGGCTGCTTTCTCCAGGGTCACAAAGGTCTCTTTAGTGCTGGCCTGTTTACCCGCATCTTCATCCCCGTGAGAGGAGGAACCACACTGTTTTGTCCGAAACCTAAGGAGTCCTCCTTTTCACGTGTGTCTCCTTGAAGCTGAACATGCCAATCTGCACTGACCATTGTGCTTTCTCTGTAGTCACTCTATCCATTTTCCCATCATGCTTTCTATTTTTCTCATAGGATATGTGGGGGTGTGCACATAGAGTACATGTGGAGGTTGGAGATCACAGTTTTGGGGAATCAGTTCCGTCCTACCATGCAGGTTCTGAGGACTGAGCTCAGGCTGCATCAGGCTTAAAGACAAAGACCTTTACTTTTGCACCATCTTGCCAGCCCAAGATCATTTGACGTAATAACCAACAGGTTGTGTTTTGTGTCAGTTTTTTGCTTTCCGTAGACTTGGTTTTGTTCGGGAGTTTTTGCCTGTTTTGTCCTCAGATTTCTCTGTCCCAGTGTACTGTGTAGCCCAGGCTAGTCTTGAGTCCTAGATCCTCCTGCCTCAGCTTCCTGAGTCCTGGGATTATGACCATGCCCCCAAACAGCGTAGACTTAAATGTATTTTTCTCTGGGGCACTTTGTGGGGCCAGGGAGCAAGGCAGGCGCAGAGTCGGCCTCCTTGTCCCAGGACTGGGGCCAGCTGTGCCTGCACATCTGCAGGAATGTGTCATGTCCTCTTCCCTGGGCCCACACATACTCCTCCCACACCAAGGATGAGGTTGGAGTGGTCTGACAAGATTTTGTTGGTGGACCTGTTGTGTGCTAGTGTCACCAAGCATTTTATAATACATCATGGCCTCAAAACAGGCCTCCAGTTTTCCAGAACAGTTTTCTGTCTTTACACATTTATTCTTCCAGATAAATTGTTGCTTAACATGCCCCCCCCCATGAGTCATTCTCACATTGAGAACCCTGTAGATCTGACCCTCCTGTGTCACCCCGGGACACAACTGTGCTGCTTACACTTAAGGGTTTTTCATTTCCTTTCAGCATAGTTTTGTGCCTATAATCCAAGCACTTAGGAGGCAGAGGCAGGACATTCACATTTCAGACTGGCCTCTGCAATGTAGTGAGACCTTTTCTCAAAAAAAATAAAATAAGGGACTGGAGAGATGGGTCAGCAGTTATGAGCACTGCCTCTCTTGCAGAGGACCCAGGTTCAATTCCCAGCACCCACGTGGCTGTTAACAATGTCTATAATTCCAGTTCCAGGGAATCCAACACCCTCTTCTGACCTCCAAGGATATTGCACGACACAGGTGCACTCACATACGTGCAGGCAATACACATATAAAAGTAATAAGTAAAATATCTTAAAGTTTAAAAAAAGTTTAGGATATGGACTGTGGATACAGGTTGGCAGCGTGCTGGCCTGATGTGCCCTGAGTACCACATCGGTAATCCTAGCACTCTGGAGGTAGAGGCAGGAGGGTCAGAAAATTTGAGGCCAGCCTAGGTTACATGTTTCAACCCACTCCACATGCCCACTCCCCCAGAAGTTCTCTGTGTATGTGAGTCACTGTTAAGCATGGACCCTGTGTCCAGCCCCCTTAATAATCTTTGACCCCTGGCATAGAACATCAGCCTCAAGTGCAGAGGTCAGGGCAGGATCCTGGTTGACCCATGCCCACTGGGTTGCTCGCAGCAGCCCCAGCCCCAGGTGTCAGCACCCAGGAAAGACCGCTGGCTTTTGTTAGCTACTTGCTCAAGAGGGTGACTCATGAGTTGAGCTGGAAATCACTGGTCTCCTGACTCAAGAGCCAGTTCAAGGTCAAAGGGCCAAGTTTTCCAGCTCAGGAACCAGAAGCAGAGCCCCTTGACTGACAGGAAAAACCAGAGGGGCGAGGGGCCCTGGGGAGCCTGGTGCCCTCTGTATAGCCACTGTGGTTCCTTAGTTCCCAGCAACTGGCACCAGCCCAGCTTGTGTTGGTTTGATGTGCCAAGGATGGGGCTCAGGGCAGTGAGATGACTCAGCCCGTTAAGGCACTTACTGCCGAACCTGAAGTGGAAGGAGGGAACTGGATCCTTCAAGTTGTCCTCTGATGGCCACACGTGTGTGTATGTGACCATATAATAAAAAAAAAAAAGTAATTAAAAATTTAGGTGGGGCATGTGAACATTACTTCTGTTAGGTTCTCTGTCCATAACCGCGTAGATTGCCTCCCCCTCCTGTTTTTGGAGGCAGGATGTAGCTGCGTAGCCCAGGCTGGCCTCCAGTTCTCTGTCCTCCTGCCTCAGCCTCCTCAGTGCCAGGTTTATACCACACCTGGATTCAGCCTAACTCAGTTCTTCCAGAATGCCAGAAGATCTCAAAAATTAAAATGAAAGTTCATCTTAATCAGAGCACAGCCTCTGGGCATGGAGGGTACTGTGTGCTGTCTACAGGATCTTATCAAGCCAGGCTTCACAGCGTGCCAGAATCACAGCTAGGATGCAGACACTGGCCTGTCTGCTCCATGGTGCCCTCATGTGGGAAGTGTTCTCTGACGCCTGTCCCTTCCTTCCCAGGTGGATTCCCGTTTCCAGAATGTGGTGGTCCTGGCTTCCTACCTGTTGCCTGATGGCACTACTGGCTGGTGCCCAGAGCAAGCCTTCCTTCCACCCACTGTCAGATGACCTGATTAACTATATCAACAAACAGAACACAACATGGCAGGTGGGCTGTGGGGCTGCTTCCTGTGTGTGTGTCTCTGTCCTTCTGTCCGAGTGTCCCCTCTTTGGGTCACCATGTGCACTCTGCTCCTGAGGGATGTGACTGTCTCTGACCATAGCACTTCATGTTCTGGAAGTTGAAGCTCAGGGCCACGCCCACGTCCCTGTCCCCCAGTGTGTGTGGGGGAGTGCATTGAACATGTGAATCCTTGATCCTTGTACATGGAGGTGTGTGGAGAGATAAGTGAGCTTTCAAACTAGATGGACTCTAGGAAGCCCACCATGGAAGGGAGGTGGTTCGCTGGTACTTGCCATCATTTCCTCCCAGCTTTGAAGCCGGAAGCAGGTGCCGAGAAGTGGGGAATGGTCCTGTTTAGGGTGCGTCTCCAGCTAGCAAGTGGCAAGCAGGTTAGAGAAGACAGTGCTGTGAGAGCTGGGTCATTCTGCCTGTTCCCATAGCCCCCTGGATTGGGCAGGACCCTTTCGCTCCCTCCCTCCATTCTGAGAAACCCGTTAGTTGGTGGGTGACTGGTGGGACTGTTTTCCAGGCTGGACGCAACTTCTACAATGTTGACATGAGCTACCTGAAGAAGCTCTGTGGCACCATCCTTGGTGGACCCAAGCTGCCGGAAAGGTGAGTGCCAGGCCCTAAGAGGGACACTGCCTTACATATTAGTGAGGAGCGGAGCTTGGTCAGGGTGTAGGAAGGGGAGGCCCTCCTGGATCCACAGGTATGCTCTTCATGGGCTGCAGAGGCTGCCTCAGATGCTGGCTTCACTACTGTGTCTCAGAGCCAGAGCCCTGGGCCAGGCTCCAGGTGTGGCAGATGAGCTCTGGGTACATTCAGCTCTGAATAATTCAGGGAAAGCCATAAGAGCTGCCATTAATTGGTTATCTTTCTGGAAAACTGCAGTGGACCTCTTTCTGCAAAAACTGCTCTTAGCAAGCATTAGCAAGCTTTAGGAATGTCTGAAGATGAGGTAGTCAAGGGTCAGGACTCCATCCTCCACACAGTGGTGATAATGTTCAAAGTGATGTGAACAGAAGTTAAAGTTACTAGCTCCTCAGCACATGGAGGAGGCACAGTTACTTTTCAGAGATTACAGTTCAGAAAGGTGGAAGGTTGAAAGCACTAGAGCAAGGTAAATAAACCCAGGAGCAAAGGCCCACGCTACAGACTCTGCTTGGCTCTCCCTTCTGATGACAACCACCTAGTGTGACTCCAGTAAAATGCCCTTAGGGGCCTTGCTGTGGCCTTGCACTCATCTTCCTGCACCAGTACCGCCATCTGCTACCGCACTTCCAACCCAGTGCTGGGCATTAGACCCATGACTCAGATAGGCTTCCCAGGTGCTCAGACATTGAGCTGCATTTGCAGGTCTAGTTGAAGAATTTGAATATTTTCTGTAGACAGCTGTAACATAACACCTAGGTTAGGCATGTCTACTCCTGGTTCACTGCTAAGTGACTCTTCAAGGTAAAGAAAATCAGATGAATCCCAGATGCTTTCCCTGTGGATCCACTGCACCTCTTCTGTGAAATGAGGACCAAAACCTGAAAATCATTTATTATTTCAGTGGCTTGGATGGGACATGATGCGCGTGCTTATAATTTCCTCTTTTTTTTTTTTTTTTGAGTCAGGGTCTGTATTCCAAGCTGGCTTGGAACTCACTATGTAGACCAGGCTGGCCTCAAACTCAAAGACACAGAGATGCACCTGCCTCTGCCTCCCAAGTGCTGGGACGACGTCACCATGCTAGCCTGCTTGCTTATAGTTTCAACAATAAGGACATGGTCAAGGCAGGAAGATGAAGTGTTCTGGGCTAGCCTGGGATACTTAGCCAGATAATGATTTAAGGTACCACAGCAGGTGTTTGTGATTGAGGATGGGGTACAGGAGCAAGGTCTGGATCCATGGCCATGGGTAGAACTGTTGAAAATATCTCGAGTAGAAAGACTCATACATAGTGCTGAGTCACACTGAACAACAGGAAAACGGTAAAGGACATCTACCTCCCTGTCAGTGTCTGTACATCTCAGACCTCACATCCTCCCTAAGGAGGTCCGGCCCAGTCCAGGGCTAGCTGCTCCTAGCCAAGTATCTTTGCAGGGGTTGGGGAGTGACTTGTAGGATGACAGTTTGTAATGGAGTTCTTTGGTTCAGAATTCGGTTCGGAGACGACATTGATCTGCCCGATAGCTTCGATGCACGGAAACAGTGGCCCAACTGCCCAACCATCATGGAGATCAGAGACCAGGGGTCCTGCGGCTCTTGCTGGGTAAGACCCTGCTGGTGGGGAGGACTTTGGGGAGAAGACAGGTTGGAGAGTGATCAGCGTATCTAGGGAGAGACCAGCTGTGGCAAGTGAGGAAACATTCAGAGCCCATTTCCTTCTGGTGGTCAGGAATTACTGCAGGGATGAGGCTGGTGACGGACATGGGTCCTTTAGCTCGGAGCCCACATGCACATGGCTCTGTAACCTGTAAACATGGCAGCTCTGATCCAGCTCAGCTTTGTGCCTGTTTTCTTGTTTTGCTTTGTCTCCCTGTAGCCCCAGGAGGGCTGGAACGCTATTTAGACCAGGCTGGCCTTGAACTTACAGAGCTCCACCTGCCTCTGCCTCCTGAGTGCTGGGATTAAAGGTGTGCGCCACTACACCTGCCTTTAATTTTTTTTTAAATTATTATTTAATTATTTTATTTCATGTGTATGGGTTTATTCCCCGCATGTCTGTAAGTGAACCTGTGTCATGCAATGCCCACAGAGGTCAGAAGAGGGCATCGAATCCCCTGAAACTGGAGTTATGGTTGTTAGTCATATTGTGGGTGCTGGGATTTGAACCTGGGTCCTCTGCAAGAGCAGTCAGTGCTCTTAACCGCTGAGCCATCTCTCCAGCACCAACAAACTGTTTTTAACTTTGTTTTTTGAAGTCTTGTAAAATACACATGACGGAAAATACAACCATCTTAACTATTTTTTAAGTATGCAGTACAGAGGCATTAAATATGTTCCCAGTGTTGTGTAGCCATCCCTGCTGCCCGTCCAGAGTCCCTTCATCTCCCCAAATGGAGTGCCTGTAACACTGACTTCCTGTGCCCCTGGCAGTGCCTGTCCGCTGTGTGCCTCACAGGAGGGGATGCTGAAGTGCTTGGACTGTGAATGAGCTGTTACAGTTCATGTTTCAGAGGTGAACCAAGTACCAGGCAGAGGGTCAGGTAGATTGGTCTCTTTAATGCTAAGTGTGAGCCCAGGAACCTTGCCTGACATAGGGTCTGGCCATTTGGAAGGTCCAGGGCCTTCCGTCGTGATGGCTAGAGAGGCCACAGTTGAAGCAAGGTGGCCTCTCACCAAGTGGGATTGATCTGTTCCTGCAGGCATTTGGAGCAGTGGAAGCCATTTCTGACCGGATCTGCATCCACACCAACGGCCACGTCAACGTGGAGGTTTCCGCAGAGGATCTGCTGACCTGTTGCGGTGGCCAGTGTGGGGATGGGTGAGTCACAGGCAACTCTTCCTGGACACCCCAGGCCCTGCCTGCTTAGTACAGAGTCACTCAGGGCTCCCTGGGGAGGGGCTTTCCCTCTTCTCAAGGCTGAGAGAGGGAGATGTGGGGATGGACAAGCAGGGCTTGTCTGCAAGCAGGGCCTCTGTTGTAGCCGCTGCTCTTGGGAGTACATGGGACCAAGCTGGCCTCATGGAGTTCAGTGGGGGTAAAGTCTTGCCAGAACGTGGATTCTGAAAACTCTCTACATTTCTGGTCCCAGTCTGTTCTTGCCCTCATTTATTCCTTCTCAGCGAGGGAAACATGCACCTGTTCTGTACTATGGCCCCAGTGGTGGGGTGGGGGAGGAGGTTAAACTAAACTCAGTCCCTAACTCACGTACTTGCCAGTGGACTCTGGCCTTGGGTGATTAACAGTGGTGCAGGTTAGACTTTCCTGAGCGCTCCAACCAAACCCAACCAAATTACTGCTTTAGTGCTGAGAGAGGGGAGGAAGGCGCTTCACACCTTTCTCACTGGACAGAGCTGCACACCTGCACACTGAACACTATCCTGCTTCAGCCCATTTGTGCTGCAAGAGTGCTTGTTTTGCAAGGTCCTCCCAAGGACAGCTGTGCCTTAGATGAAGCTATAACCCTGTGTTTACTGCATGGTCTGCTCCCAACCTTGTTTCGTCTTAAATGAACTCACTGTGGCCTTGGAGTTTGGTGTGTGGCAGCAAAACTAGCATGAATCCTTTCTTCATAATCGAAGACAGATCTCTTCTTACCATAGATCTTAGCAGTGTCAGCTAGACAGTTCAGAACTTGTGCCTTTTTATGTAAAGGAAGCACTTTCACTGTCTGTTTGACACGTCTGAACTGCCAGCACCAGTGTCCCTATGTGGGGAGTGCTGGGCTAAGTAAGACAAGGTCACCTGAACCCACACACTGCAGCACCACAGCTGTGGATTTGATAACCAGTAGCTCTTGACTGACTAGCAATGGGTAGTGTACATAGCATGGATACTCTGGACAAAGATGATTGCTACTGCATGCTGACTGGAGCAGAGTAGTGTGAGATTTCATCATGCTACTCGGAATAACGTGCAAGTTAAAACTTAGGAATTATTACCAGAAATTTCCACTTAACATGCCTGGACCATAGTGGATAGTTTAACTAAAACCTCAGAAATCAACTACAGATGAGGTTGGGGTGGGGGGCAACCGGACTGACTGACCACTGTGCCCTAGGACTGTAAAATGCTATGCATTTGAAAACCACTTTCCAGAAAGAAGGGCACACCAAAGCTCAGTTTGGCATAGACCTGGAAAAAGAGGCTCCTCGTGTCCTTGTGGACAGAGGTGGAGCTTGTGTGAGTCCCTGATGAAGTGACTGGGGAGGGATGAGTCTGCACATTGGGAGAACTGAGCCAGTTGCCGAGGACAGTGCATGCCTGCGGTGACCTTGGCACCTGCACCACGCAGTGGTCTGGGAGCCGCTAGAACTCTCGCGATGAATTTGACAGAAGCTCTTTTTCAGATGCAATGGTGGCTATCCCTCGGGAGCGTGGAACTTCTGGACCAAAAAAGGCCTGGTTTCAGGTGGACTCTATGATTCCCATGTAGGTAAGTGTGGACCTTCGACCCCTGTCACTGAGGTTGATTCTTAGGCAGTGAGTCTTGATGGTTTCCTTTTCACTGTAAAGGAAGGTCAGGGGCAGGGGCCCAGCTGATGGACAGTTAAGCAGCCTGTCTTGATACAGACACAGTTTGGCCACACTCCAGCTCTGCCTGGCCTGGAGGGTCATGTAGTGGGGCTGTAGGCTGACATCTTATCACCTCTGTCCATCAGGATGCAAACCATACTCCATCCCTCCTTGTGAGCACCATGTTAATGGCTCCCGGCCCCAGTGCACTGGAGAGGGAGACACTCCTCGATGCAGCAAGAACTGTGAGGCTGGCTACTCCCCATCCTACAAAGAGGATAAGCACTATGGTAAGTTGGAGTCTGCCGAACGAAGAGGCTCGTGCCATTGAGTCAGCTTCTGGGAGCAGTAGGAAGGGGGGAGGGGGATTGCACATCCGCCTCACTGGACAGAGCTGCCACATTCTGACTGGTCCACAGACTTGAGCTGCAAGAGACTTGTTTTACAAGGTGCAAAGGGTTAGAACCTGTCTTAAACCTCAGGGTCCTCTTGGCCTCTTAACAGGACCGGCAGCTCTGCTCATTACTTAGGGAGGCCTTCCTTGACCTACTGGAGTGCTAGAGAAGGGAGAGGCCTGATGTAATCCAGTGAATAACTGCCTGGAGGGGCTGGAGGTGCCCCCTGCCCTTACCCAACCTGGTATGGTTCCTTCCACAGGGTACACTTCCTACAGTGTGTCTAACAGCGAGAAGGAGATCATGGCAGAGATCTACAAAAATGGCCCAGTAGAGGGCGCCTTCACTGTATTTGCAGACTTCCTGACTTACAAATCAGGTGGGTACCGACCCTGGTGACAACCAGGATTGAGAGATTAGAGTTTAAGAGCCTGGGTGGGTCCACAGGAGCCAGCAGCATTCAGAGAAGGCAGGGACTTCTGGGGAGGGCTGGGAACCTACATCCCTGCCCACGCTTCTTCCTGGCCAGGTATCAGCTTGTGACACTGGTGGGCTGGTGATCGTAGCCTCCCACCTGTCATGCTCCCTGGCTCCCCTCAGCACAGATCTCCAGAGCCTCCCAAGGGGCCCCTTTCCTAACCTTCACTCTCACCCTCGCCCTCACCAGGTCAGCTCTGTCTCTGACAGCATCCACATTTGATAGTGAACTACTTGTTCTTGGTCTTTGCAAAGGCCTAGATCATGTCTAGACTCAAGGGATAAAACAAGTAGGGAGTACTTTGCTGTGTCCTATGTTTCCCAGGCTGGTTTTGAACTTGGAATCTTCCCATCAGTTTCCTGAGTAGCTGGGGTCACGGGTGCGTCGCCATGGTGATTCTTCCTACTGCCGCCACCCAAATTAAAGATGTATTTGCAGTTTGAAAAAGAAGGCCTGGTTCCCCAGGTCTCTGAATATGGCAGCGTGTCTTGTCCCAGCAGTCAAGAGTGGCTGCCACCCGTCTCTCTCATTACCTCTTGTGTACTCCAGAGCAGTGATTTCAGAACTCTGCAAGCCATGTACATTTACAAGTGAACCCAGACATGGAATCTCAGATGTAAAACAGGCCATTGAGTTTTACATTTGTTTCATATTAGCATTTATTTTATTTTATTTTATTTTTTTGGTCTTTTTGAGACAGGGTCTCCCTGTAGCCCCAGCTGGCCTGGAACTCACTATGTAGACCAGGCTGGCTTCGAACTCAAGAGAGCCGCCTGCTTCTGCCTCCCAAGTGCTGGGACTAAAGGTGTGCACCACCACGCCCGGCTTAGCATTTATTTTTTAAAACCAAGCCAAAAAATATTTGTGGGATTCTGTTTTATTATTAGTTCACGTGCTTGACGTGGTGGTCTTTGAAAAATATTTTTATAGGCAGGTGTAGTGGCACCTACTTGTGTGATCCTAGCACTCAGGAAGCTAGGCAGAATTGTGAGTTTGAGGCCATCCTGGCCTTCAGAGACTCTCTACCTCTGTCAGTTTTTCTCACACATACACACACACACAGGTGTGTATTTAGGTAATGCCCTAATATCGTGCATGTGCCCTCTGATGGAGCAGTGGTGTTTCGGTGGTGCTGGGGATTAAACCAAGGGCCTTGCACAATGCTAGTGCTTTCCTTGTGGGAGGGGCCTGTTTCTCTTGACTGGGTGGCTGACTCTTGGAGATCCAGTCAGAACTGCCTTTCCTTTCTTCAGGAGTGTACAAACACGAGGCTGGTGAAATGATGGGTGGCCACGCCATTCGAATCCTGGGTTGGGGAACGGAGAACGGAGTCCCCTACTGGCTGATAGCCAACTCCTGGAACACGGACTGGGGTGACAACGGTAAGCGACAGCCCCCTCCTGCAGAGAGGGAGCCATGGCCACCTTAGCCTCTGCTCCACTGTGGCATAGCTCCAAACCCCAGGCAGGAGGCTTGGCCTTGACCACTGAGATACTAGTAAACATGGTTTCCCTTTGCTCTAGAACCACCCCAAAAGGGTGCTATGCACCAGCACATGGCTTCACATAACTGTGCATGCAGTTCCCCTTGCAGAGGGTGGCGTGTGAAGGGGACTGAGGACTATGCCTCAGACGATGCAGTTACGTGGACCCCTGAAGCTGGCAGGGCCCAGAGGGTGGGGCTCGGTGACTCACTTAGATCTTGGGTTGGGTCTGACTATACCAACAAGAGTGAAAGCCCAAGGTAGTCATGGTGGCATATTCCTGTTAACCCAGCACTCAGCATGCTGAGGCAGGAAGATGGAGAGTTTGTGGCCAGCCAGGGGTATAGTGAGATGCTATCTCAAAGTAAACCACTGTCAAAATACTTGGGCCATAGGACTAGAAAGATGGTTCAGTGGTTAAGAGCACTGGCTGCTCTTGCAGAGGATCCAGGTTCAATTCCCAGCACTCATGTGGCGGCTAACAGCCATCCATGACTCCAGTTGCAGGGATCTGACCCCTCTTCTGACCATGCAGACAATACATTCATACACATAAAATAAAAATAATTAAAAACACCTCAGTTGGGCGTGGCAACGCATGCCTTTAATCCCAGCAGAGGCAGGTGGATCTCTGAGTTCAGGCCTGCGGGGGCTACAAGGAAACCCTGTTTCAAAAAAGATGAAAAAGTTTAGAGTATTTAAAAACCACCTCAGGCCATACTTTTCAATGCACCTTACTTTTCTTCCCCAGGCTTTGTAAAAATCCTCAGAGGAGAGGACCACTGTGGAATCGAATCAGAAATCGTGGCTGGAGTCCCACGCACTGACCAGTACTGGGGACGGTTCTAATCTGCTGTGGCCTGGCTGGCCAGTCCTGGGGGAGTATTTCCCTAAATTCAGCAGCCAGACTGGGAGTGAGGCAGGACAGGAAAGCCTTTGATTCTTTAAGTTCACCCAAGATGCAAGTTTGTAGACAGGACTAATGAATGGACCATAGCTGTCTGACATCAGAGCTGTCTTCTAAGGAGCCCATCCTTGCCTGGCTCCCTCCCAGCCTGTTCTGTAGCAGTGACCACAGCACGGATCGGACCCTGCCCCTAGACTAGTGCTGTTTGTACTGCCTGCGGCTGAGGCTCTGGCTGCCGTCCCACCGACCCTTGTCCCAGCATCTCCAGAGCAGGACAGGCTTTGGCTATAGGTTTTCCAAAGGAACATGGAACACTGACTTCTGATGAGAACACATGCCACCCATCAGCTGCACCTTGAAGCCAGTAGCTTCCTTGATTTGTGGCAGGTGCCAGTGGTCCTGTGCGTCCGGATCTCTGGAGAAAGCCACCTTCTCCCAGGGTGCCCATGTCTATCACCCTTGTCAATGTGACAAGTCCTATCTGATCTTATCCTTGGCTGATGCTTTTTAATAGTTTTATTTTCTGTGCACCTCAACTGATCATGTGAATGAAGGTAATTAGTTGGAAGAGCTGTACTAGTTTTACAGATTTGTCTCCTAATGTTATGGCTTAACACAAACTTCAGTGATCCTGGTTTGCTGGCTGACCTGACCTCAACCACCAGTGAAACTAGTCTAGGAGAAACCTGCTTTTACCGTTTAAAGCATCACTGCTTCGCCCTATAAACTTAACAAGGAATGACTGTGCCAATAAAGTGTTTATCCTTCATTTCCATGTCAAGTCTGCTCTAATGGCTCCGGGACGCTGAGTGACTCAGTGCTCAGCTCTGCTGTCAAGCTGTGGCATCTTGGTTTTCTGTCAACCTCCCCAGCCCTTCTAAATCCATCCCCAGAACTCTGCTCAAGTCTTGCTGCTTAGAGATAAGGGACTTGCACTTCAAATTTTGTTTATCACAAGCCACCAGCAGCCTTCCTGAGGTGTCTGCTTACAGAAGGCAGGCATGCGTGATCAGGCTATAGCTGCCATCCTCCAGGGGGCCACATCTCTGTTTTCCTGTCACTGGATTATGTGGCTGGTTAAGAGCTATTCCTTTCCGGAGTTCTGATTAAGAATCCTGAATAGTACAGTTCTTAGGGAGGAAGAGACCAATCAGCGTTCATTCCCCTGCCGTTACTTTGCTTCCTGATGAGTGGGAAAGGCTGATTCTTTCCTGAAGTTTAGAAAGCATGCCTTCCCTTAAGCTCGGAATCGGAACTACATCAAATCAGCTCTTAAAGCTTGATCCGAGCAGGCACCTAGCATGCGAGGTGGGATTTGACCCCAGGTGTGAGATGACTGAAAACCAAGCGGGCCTTGTGCTGCTCCCAGTGCTCCTGCTCTAACCTCAGATACAACCTCTGCATTCTGGGCTCTGCTGGCACCGAGTGAATCCGTTTCTCTCCCACCTCCAACTCTACTCCCATCTCTGGAACCAGTGGAGCTGGGCTAGATGAAGTAAGGGTTCAGGGCACCCTGCAAACTACTGAAGGGGCCTTTGGGAGGACCTGCCTTGCAGGTATATGCTTAGGGACAGCCGTTTGGCTTTAGTGGCAAATTCTCCAATGGGTCATCTCTCGTGCCCATGATCGTGTTTCGTGGGTGCAATCAGATGAACAGGCACTAGGGAGGCAGAGGAAGGCGGACTACTTGAGTTTAAGGCTAAACTGGTTACATAGCAAGTTCAGGCCAGCTAGGTTACACAGTGAGATCCTGTCCCTCATACATACAAAATAGTTGTAAATTAAAGGGCATTTCCTCTTCAATCTGTCTGCAGAAGGGCATTCTTTGAGATGACTCAGATTTACAAGTTCCACCTTGCCTATACTTTTAACACATTAGAGCAAGTTCTAAAGTTGTGTGAGTTCTGCTGTTCCATGTGGTCCTCACGCTAGCCTTGCCACCATAGAGTCTGCTAACCTGTGCTAGGATCAGCATCATACCTAACAAGGCCTCAGGATGTTCGTAGGTAACCTGGCATCATGTGCTGTCTCCTGCCTTTGGTGCTGTCGCTTCCATGAGGCCCTCTAGAGGCTAAAGATGGGCCTCAACTTGGCTTTTCATCTTCCTAAATGTAAGATAAATGAGCCTCTGTAAGGATCCCAGCCTCTGGTATTTATCAATAGGAAACATCAGCAATTGATCTTCCTGCCAGACACAAAATGTGGAGGGGGAAAAAAAAAACATAAAACAAGGAAAACAGAGGTGTCTGCAGATGCAGGCACAGGGCGATGCTGCCGCCAGCTCCCCAGTCCCACACGGGCAGCAGCCACTGTATGGACTCAGAGGTGAACGCTACCTGTATCCCCAGCCCTCACACTATTACAAACACCTGACACACAGCCAGCGGCAATGCCGCTGCACTCTTGGAGCATCATCCACAGCGATGAACAGTCACACCAACAACCATCAAAGCATCTGATCTGAAGATAAGCTGGTAAGGAAAACAGGAACCAGACAGAAGGAAAAGTCACTTCCTTTTCTATTATGATAGGTATTCAAAGACTGCTTCAAATTAAATACATTCGGTTATGACTCTAGCCAGGCTTCACTGAGAACTTGTGGCCATTTCGTGTGTGGCCACTTCACCGAGAGCGCAGCAGTGACACACTGCCAGGGTTCTCAAGAGGAGAGGGACCGAGACTCGACAAGCACCAGGCTGCTGAGGGCAAGGCATCCTTTGCTTTGCAGTTTCTAAAGTTCCACAGAGTTCTCTGAGGGCTTAACATAGGAAGAGAAACAAAAGGGAAGCCAAATCCATCCTTGAGGACAAGGTCGTGAACTTCAGCTTGCAACAAGTTCAAGTCAGTGTTCTCCGGTCTGGACATAGTCTTCCGTGACCTGGGACAGGGTGCTCAGGTACTGCCAGCTCAGGGCAGCCAACAGCATGACAAATGACAGGTAGATGGGGGAGAAGTGGCTTCGGGAGATGAGCTGACAGTTCGGAAGACTCTGCGTCCTGACTGTGGAGATGATCTGCTTTGTTTTACTAGAAGAAGGGTCTGAGTCAGGGATTCGATGATAAATCTGTTCAGGAAAGAGACAAAGCTACTTAGTTTATGTCTTGGGTGCAGAAGCATCACAAGTACTACATGTCCCCTGTGGTATCTTCTGACAGTTAACGTGATAAATCTGTTCAGGAAAGAGACAAAGCTACTTAGTTTATGTCTTGGGTACAGAAGCATCACAAGTACTACATGTCCCCTGTGGTATCTTCTGACAGTTAACAGGTGGCTGCTTTATGCCTACCTCACCAAGGAAGAAAGAGGCTCAGAGAACATGACAGTAACTTGCCACTCTGAAAAGGCAGGACCATCAGCTAAGCCCATCCTACAACCAGGCATGGTACATACAGCCCAGGTGCCACCAAGCATCTGGAGAGCAGCCACTACACCACGCTGTATTCAGATCCCCTACACCTTACGGTACAGATGAGACATGCAGTAGGTACCTAGTAAATGCGGACATGGTTCAAACTAGGCTGACTAGAGTAACAGTAATCAGAGGGCCATCAAATTTCTCCCTCTTCTGGATTATCCATATCCAGTGCCAATCTGTACAGTTAAAGATGCTCCAAGAGCCTGGTAAGGCCCTAGAGCAGCCCCAGGGAGGGCGTCAGAGAGCTCACAGAACATGAAAAGTGATGCCCCTGCCAAGGAATTCACTTTGGCAGAGTGGAGAATGGAAGTTTCTGGCTGGCTATCCATGCAGACAAGTCCTGCAGCTCTCCAGCTGACAGATATGCAGGCAGCTCCAGAGATAAACAAGAGGTCTCGGAGCTGCATGCGTCTACCTGCTCAGCCCCCCATTATTTCCATTTTTAATAAGGTCATCCTAAGGACCACAGATGCCAAGAGCCAGGGAGACAAGGACAAATCATCTCACACCAGGACCCATGGCTTTAGGCCCACCATCTAGGTGAACACTCCCACCCAGTCATATACTACCCTCTAGAGGTCCTGATCCCGCCTGAGATAACGTTTTACTTTATAGGATGGTTCTGGCATTTGCAATGAACATTTTTTCCCCTTTTTTCCTTAGTTTTATGTGTGCGAGTGCACTGCCTGCATGTGTGTAGGTGCACCAGTGTCAAGCAATGCCCACAGAGGTCAGAAGAGGGCATCGGATTCTCTGGAATTGGAGTTACAGATGGTTGTTGGCTGTCACGTGGATGCAACCAGTGCTCTTAAGCACTGAGCCATCTCTCCAGCCTGGAAATTTTCAAAAAAGAAAAAGCCCCAAACTTAGAAGTGATTGCAGTCAACTGTCTTCCTTTGTCTAGACTCCCTACTGTAGTTTTTCAGTTACGGCCTATGAAGTCATGGAACATGCTGGATTGAGTCAGGACTTGAGTGTAGGTTCCTTTCAGCCACCCCTTGCATTAGCTTACACAGGCCTCAACTTCATACTCATCCATGAAACAAGCTTGGTTGGCCTCTAACATCACCTCACAGTTCAGAAGACACGATTCTTCCTAGAGCTTCAGCATATAGCCTTCAAGTAGTTAAACAAAAACCAACCTCTTGTCCTTCCTGGGGCCAGCATCCTTCCTGGCTAAGTTTGGTGGCGCCCACTGCGACTTGACTCCCCCCGCCTCATTCATCCTCCCAGTTCCCCCACCCCATCTCTCCTCTTAGCAGGGGCACTGGCCCATTTCTTATCTTGGCACCTCTGACCTCCTGGCCCAGACTCCCCACTGCTTCCTGATCTTTTGCATCCAGACCAAACCAATTCCTCTTTCTAGTCCCCAGGAGCCCTTGGGGCCTCTTCCCATCCCAGCCTCCCAGCTTCCTGGGGCCAGCATCTTTCCTGGGTAAGTTTGGTGGTGCCCACTGCACCTGGACTCCCCCAGGCTCATTCACTCTCCCAGCTCCACCACCCCATCTCTGCTTACTGTGGGCACTAGCCCATTTATTGGCCCATTTATTAGCCCAGACCTCTGGACTGATCTCTTAGCCCAGGCTCTCCACTGCCTCCTTATCCTTTGTATCCAGACCAACCCAATTCCTCCCTCTAGTCCCCAGGAGCCCTCTGGACCTGTTCCCTTCCCCACCTCCCTTTGCATCCCTAGGCAGCACAGCTCCTGGGGCCACCATCTTTCCTGGGCCTTTCCTGAGGCCAGCATCTTTCCTGGAAGGATCCAGGCCTTAGGAGAAAGCCTGAGAGCATCTGATCCTCATCCAACTTGGGCCTCTTTGGGAACTCCTGAGCAAAACAAAATCAATTTGGCCCCTCAAATATAAAAATCAATAGAGAAAACCTGAAGCCCAGACCAACCAGCTTTTCATGCCCAACAAGTAAATCACAAAGGCACATAAAGTTTACAAAATGAAGCAGACCTAAACTCAACAAAGGAAGGATTGAGTCTCACACAAGAATCAGAAACTACAAAAGAAATCCACATGTCAAAGTCACGGCGTAAGAATAACATGAAAAACCCACGTAATACATCCCCACCAAGTACCAACAGTCCTGTAGAGGAGTACAATGAGAACCCCTAGAGATAACACAAGACATGGAACTCAAAAGAACAATTATAATCATGATAAGACAATTTAGTGAATTTAAAGAACACACAAAGAACTGAAAGAAGATAGGGATAAACTTCTGAATGAATTCAGAAAAGAGTTAGAAATATTGAAGAACACTCAGGCTGAAATGCAGGAGGAAGTGAAACACTCAGTAAGCCCATTAGAAACAACAGGAGAAAAGCCTCACCAATAGGATGGATGAAATGGAAAACAGAATATCAAGACTGGAAGATAGAATGGACGAATTAGACCACTCAAGCAATTACGAAAAATTTAAGAAAACAAGAATTTATGCAGGAATTGTTTGACACCATAAAAAGACCAAACTTACAAATCATAGGCATAGAGGAAGGAGAAGAATCTCAGGATGATGATATGGAACAGATCTTGAACAGGATTGTAGAAGAAAATTTCCCAAAATTAAAGACATGACCATACAAATTACAAGAAGCATATAGAGCACCAAACAGACAGGACCAGAAAATGAACTCTCCAGGGCACATCATAGTAAAAACACTACATGTACAAAGAGAGAACACTGAAAGCTGCAAAAGAAAAACGACATCACATATAAAGGAAAAACCCCATCAGAATTACAGCTGACTCTTCTGTACAAACTATGAAAGCCAGAAGAGCCTGGACCAAAGTAGTCCCAGTTCTAAATTACCACAGATGCCAACCCAGATTACTTTACCCAGCCAAAATATCTATTATAGTCAAAGGGGAAAGAAAAATCTTCCATGACATAAATAGGCTGAAAGAATTCATGTCCACAAAACCAGCCCTTCAAGCAATACAAAGAGCTGAAGAAACGACTATACCCAAGGGATAACAGAAAGAAACTTAATGAAGGTTTAACTGTGGAAATGCACAGCTACACCAAGAATGTGAACAGAAATAAAAACGACAGGAATCAGAACTAATCTTTCATTGATAATTTTAAATATCAATGGACTGAACTCCCATTCAACTGTGTCCCAAAAGACACAGACTAGATGAATGGATTAAGAAACAAAACCCACCTTTTTGTCATCTGCAAGAAACTCACCTCACTTTCAAGGACAGGTATATATGGCATAACAAAGAACTGGGCCCAGCTCAGGCCTCCTCCCATAAGGAATGGGGAAAGGGCAGTCGGGCTTGGCAATGACAACCTGCTTGAGAGATGATCTGCTTGGAGACAGACTGCCATTGGATATCGTAGGATGTGGGAAACCATGATTGGCTAGACAACCCCTTATAACCCCAACGCTTCCTGGAATAAATGAGTCTGCAGCAGCTCGCCCTCTGCTTGCTTTCACCGGACTCCGGTGTCTGTGTCGTGATTCCTCGCCTTTCACCCCCATATCGGCAGACACTACCTTACGGTGAAAGGATGGAAAAAAATATACCAAGCGAGGGGTCTGCAGAGATGGCTCAGTGGCTAAGAGCACTAACTGTTCTTGCGGAGGACCCAGGTTCGATTCCCAGCACCCTCATAGTGGCTATGAACTGTCCTCCAGTTCCAGGGGAATCTGAAACCCTCTTCTGACCTCCGCGGCATTGCATGACACGGGTGCACTCACATTCAGGCAATACGCTCACACACATAAAATAAAAATAATAAATAAAATATTAAAAAAAAATACACACACACACACACACACAAGCGAATGGTACTAAGCAAAAAGCAGGCATTGCAATTCTAATATCTGATAAAATAGACTTTAAACAAAAACTAATCAAAAGAGATAAAGAGGGCCACTTCATTCTGATCAAAGGAACAATAAACCAAGAAGATATTACAATCATGAACATATATTCACCAAACTCTCGTGCACCCAACTTCATAAAAACAATACTACAAGACTGTAAGACCCAGATTAAACCCAACTCATTAATAGCAGGGGTCTTCAATGCCCATTGTCTCCATTAGATAGGTCAATAGGACAGAGAATTAACAGAGACATCTGAATTAAACAATACCATACATCAAACAAATGGGCCTAACAGACATCTACCGAATATTCCATCCAAGCACCAAAGAATATACTTTCTATTCAGTGCCTTATGGAACTTTCTCCAAAATCAACCATACACTAGGGACAAAAAAGACAAAAAGATTGAACTAATTCCATTCATTCTATCAGACCACAATACAATAAAGCTTACAATCAACACCCGAAGAAGCCCCAATCACCACATGAACACATGGAGATTAAACAGCACACTCCTGAATGACGAATGGATCAAAGGAGAAATTAAGAAATAAAAGCATTCCTGGAACTAAATGAAAAGGACAATACAACACAACAAAAACTCTGGGACACACTGAAAGCAGTCCTTAAAGGGAAGTTTATAGCTCTAAGTGCCTTCATTCAAAAAATAAGAAAGGACACATATAAATGACTTAACACTGCAACTCAAGACACTTGAAAAGCAACAACAAATGAAACCCAAACCCAGCAGATAAGAAGAAATAACAAAAATCAGAGCAGAAATTAATGAAATAGAAACAAAGAAAACAATACAAAGAATCGACGAATCCAAGAGCTGGTTCTTTGAAAAGGTAAACAAGATTGACAGAACCTTAACCCAGTTAACCAAAAGAAAGAAAGAGCACCTCCAAATCAACAAAATCAGAGATGAAAGGGGAAATATCACAGCAGACACCAAAGAGATCCAGAACATTAAAAGGGAATAGTTTAAAAACCCATATGCTACTAAATTTGAAAACCTGAAAGAAATGGATGGGTATCTAAAAGCATGGGAACCACCAAAACTAAACCAAGAAGAGATTAACAGCTTAAACAGACCCATAACACATAAGGAAACTGAAATAGTAACACAAAGCCTCCCGACTGAAAAAAGCCCAGGACCAGATGGATTTACAGCAGAATTCTACCAGACATTTAAAGAAGATCTATATCCAACGCTACTTAATTTATTAAAAAAGATAGAAATAGAAGGAGAACTTCCAAATTCCTTCTATGAAGCCAGCATCACTCTAATACCAAACCCATAAAAGATACAACCAAAAAAGAAAACTACAGAGCCACATCCTTAATGAACATAGAAGCAAAAATTCTCAAGAAAATACTGAAAACCAGGAACTGCATACAGACACACATCAAAAAGATCATCCACCATGATCAAGTCAGCTTTATTCCAGAGATACAGGGATGGTTTGATATAGGTAAGTCAACAAACATCATAAATCATATAAATGGACTCAAAGACAAGAACCACATGGTCATCTCAATAGATGCAGAGAAGGCCTTTGCCAAAATTCAACATGCATTTATGTTTAAAGTCCTAGGGGGAATCGGACTGGCAGGAACACACCTCAACATAATTAAAGCTCACAGCCAACATCATTCTAAATGGACAAAAAAATGGAAGCATTCCCACTAAATGGACAAAAAAATGGAAGCATTCCCATTAAAATGAGGAACCAGACAAGGCTGTCCACTATCTCCACTTCTTTTTAACATAGTGCTTGAAACTCTTTCAAGAGCAATAAGACAAGAGAAGGAAATTAAAGGAGTAATAATTGGAAAAGAGATCAAATTATCCCCTTTTGAAGACCATACGATACTGTATCTAAGTGAAGCCAAAAATTCCACCAGAAAACTCCTAGAAATGATTAACACTTTCAGTAATGTGGCAGGTTATAAAATTAATCTAAAAAAAAAGTAGCCTTTCTATATAT